AAACTGATTATAGCACAAGTGCCAATTATGACAAATTTTGAGCACTAAATGAGTCAACTCATAAAACCTTTGCTGTACTAATAAACACATTCCAGCCAATTTGAGCATTTTCTTAACCGTATTTACAGTGAACATTATAGCATTACATCAGTCTCTTATGAGCTTACAAATGGGGTGAAAGGGGCCCATGTGGTGAGATACTTTTCAACTGTGCCCATACCAATCACTTTGAAATCAGCTCTACCCGCCCAGCAGGCATTCTCATTCTCAAACTGCACTGAGCTGAGCACTCGCATTATTGCTTGCGAATGCATACAGAATTACTACAACCAAAAGTACTTTGCAGGTACAGTATTGAAGATCCTCCCTTACACTCCACAGTACTGGCTGGATTTCAATACAGGCACTATGGAAAAACAAACTCAAGGACTGATACTTTCCATCTGGTGTGCGTCATATAACAAGTGTTTTGTTGTGTTTATAAACCTGGGAGGCAAACTAAGTAAGACTAAGTTATGGAGGAGCAATGCTTCCCCAACTGAATTTCACTTCAGTTAATGGTGTAATTTTATTGTGTGTGAATTAGAAACAAAATACACCTACACAGATGAGCTTGTACAGTGGTTATACAAAGGAGTGGTGAAGTACATTACAGTCCTTTCTATGAAGCCATTGACTTGCTAGTCAAATCTACCCCTTAGTCCAAAACTTCCCAACAGTCACTGATGCCTTCACCATATTAGTGTCACAAATCTACTCCTTTACCCTTTTCCATCTTAGTGGTGCCTTTCACTGAGGATCTTGGTTTCCTACACCTTTTTTAAAAATGTGATATAATGCCTTTCATATCAGAAGGACGTCTTAAAGTGGTTCATAGCATTGAAAATTTCTCATGATGTAAACTGTGCTGTATTAAATGCAGACATTATTATAAAAATTATTATCATCATGCTTAGGAAACCTAAAGGGCTTAAACAAAGGTCTAATTCCTTATCTTCCAACTCAACTCACTCACTCACTCACTCACTCTACTCATTCTTAGGCATAGCTGATTTCTGAAAAAATATACCTGTGGCATATCACTGAACAACTACAAGTTTCTGTTGAGTATCTGATAAACTACAGGAACTTGTGGAGTATATTGAATTAAAGTCCCTTTAGATCTCCAAGACAATACATTGACAGTGTGCAACATATATTTATAGTGTTGACTTTTTACTATTTAGATTTACAATTTTTTTAATTTCAATGCCCTGCAGATTACATGTGGTTCATTATTTATGATCTAATGGAGGAATTTAAAGAAACTGAAATATTACAAATCTGCTACTTAGTGCGATGTTTTAGTTAGAATACAGTGACTAGATAAGTGTGTTAAACAAAGGAAGACCAGAAGGATTCAAGCAGGAAGAGGACAATGAAGGGAGTATTCTCAATTCAGAATTATTCTCAGTTTTGATGAACTGAAACTATAGTGCAATTTACCAACTTGTATACTACTTTAATATAGACATTTGTAATCTTTCACTTTATCACATCTGCTTTCTTGCTGTATTAGGAGCTCAAAATTTTCTTTTTCTTGGGCACAAGACCAGTAAAATGTTTAAAATTTAAGATGGTGTAGAATTTGGGGGAAATTAATTTAATTTGAAAGTTGATTTTCCAGCATCTGTTTTGAGTAATCTGGAAACATCACTTGCAAATTAAGACTGAAATTAAGACGTTCTGCAAAATCTTAAATTTTAAGACAATATTCATCTTAAGAACGGGAGTATTTTGGACCGATTCTTTGTGGCCAGGGCAATAGTTCTTCCTTATCCAACTGATCAGTTTCTAGTCTGTACCAAAGCTTTATTTCTTTTGAAGATTTATTTCCATCCCTTTAAATTAAAATAGATATAAAAGCTAAATAAAGTTAAAAATTAATTTTTATTAGAGGTGGAGGGTGAAAAATGTTAAAATAATAACTTCAGGAAATCTCACCTACAAGGAAAAAAATAGCAGTTCAAACATTATCCAATGTTACCCAATGACAGAGTTTAGACAGATGAAACTCACTTTCTAAAGGAAATCCTGAGCGCAACTCTCAACTGAGACCATGATTCAGACTGAGATCTCAAAGTCTGGAGCCTTGTCCTCTGTTGGTCTAGCTGCCAGATTGCCAGAAAAAAGCAATTAAGTACTGTATGTTGTTGAAGTCATCGGCAGGGCATAACAGCTTATGTAACCGGGCACAACAGCATAAGCAATTCAATGTGCTATCAAATATTATCATCAGTACTCAAATGTTTTAATCTTTTAGTTGGGCTTGCAATGTTTTTTTTCATCTTACACTTTGAAGTTTTGAAAATATTCTTTCCATCATCTTTGCCTGATGAATACACTGCCAATCACAGATACGAGATGGTAAGAAAACACCAGTGATTCACATCACACTTCATTGCAAATTATGAGCAAATGCTCAGCAATGAAAAAATCACTAATGGCGTGTGCCCACAGCAAAGCTTTCCTGGTGCAATGAGCACTTTATCTCTGTAAAACAAGCATACATTGGGACAATGGTGTCTTTTATACATTGACGGTCAAAGTGAATACAGTCAATTCACTTTATAGTCTATTCTGTGAAGTGCTTTGAGACATTTAGAAGGTGTGAAAAGCGCTATATCAAATGCAAGGATTATTATTATTATAAACACCATATGTGCATTTAAGCACACAGAAATGAAAGCCAACTACAGTATGAGGACGTGTGAGCATCTCAATATCAATTTCACTGATTTAGAGATCCAGTTTAGAGCACTTTATGGCAATAATATTTCTAAATCTCCACAGTTTTAGCATTCTATCAAAACCATTGCAACCTAATTTAAAATAGACTTTTAAAGGTCAATTGCCAAGGCTTTGCAATCTCTCTGTGAATTATGTTTCTTACGCGCAGTTTATCCTCGTTGAGCTTTTCATTGTATGAATCCAGATTTGAAGCTAGAAGTAAAATGACTTGCATTTTCACTCGTTTCACCTTTTGATTTCATACTTAAAGAAATGCAAAGAAATAAAAAAAGATTTACAGAATGTGATCAGTGTTGCAATAGAAATGTTGGGGAGAAAATTTGTGAACCTTTGATAACGGAGTCCTGTAGCTCAGTGGTTAGAGCACTCGCTTTGCAAGTGAGAGACCTGAGTTCAATTCCAGGCAGGGCGAAACCTTGGGCAAGTTTCCTTATTCCACACGCCTAATAATAATCCCTCCAAAACAAAACCGTAATAAAAATTGGTCATTTTCAATCCACGACTGTTTGTGGGACACTGCTGTGCGCAATTGGCTGCCGTGTTTTGCCCACAAATATACAGTCAATTCACTTTACAGTATATTCTGTGAAGCGCTTTGGGACGTTTAGAAGACGTGAAAAGCGCTATATCAAATGCAAGGATTATTATTATTATTATAACATTCAGGTATCACATTGAATGACTTGTAAATCAATTATTCAGAGGTGAGTGGGAGATACTTTATACAGTTATATAAAAGCACTCTGAAATGCTCCCTGTGTGAAGGGTGCTATGTATATGCAAGTTATTGTTGTTCTTGGATATTAAAAATGCCACCATCGAGCTCTTTATTCGAGATGGATGAATTTAGCAAATTCTTAAATGCAGCCCTAATTTTAACTCTTAAGGATTAAGAACTTACATTATCAGTTCTTAAAAGTTCTCTTTTAAATACGTACAGAAGAATTACTTCAAAGTTAAGACTGAAATCAACAGAATGTTTGGGCTCTGTTACTGGGCACCCTAAAATGCTACGAAAATGTAATACATTTTGACTCAGATGAAATTTTTTCCCAAACGTTGGATGCACAGTGATTTGGCCAGGCTATTGCTGATGTTGATATTTTTAAATGCAGATGTTTTACAGGAAATCTCAACCAAAGTTCACCCTTGTGTTTTAATACTTCTGGTTTGGAACAGAACCGAAATATTCTAATGACTTGTAACCTTGACAACACTGTTACGAGCAGGCTGGGAGATGGGTGGGCAGGGATGATGAAGGGTTAGATTAACAATGGGAGTGTAAGGGATGGCATTCAATAACATTAGAAATGGGAGTGAATTTTCACCTTCTTTCTATTCTAAATGTGATTGCCATATGTTCTCATCCCAGTGCTAAGGGAAACAGAATCTCTCTTTCTCGTACCCATTTATTTTACAAATTATAGCTAAGATTTGGTGGTGGTGGGATGGGTGGGGGGTACAGAGATTAATAAAAAACAAATTCACTGATGTTCCTAGAATCATAAAATTAAAGCCCAGAAGGGGACCTTTTGGCCCATTGATCATCAACTGATGCTAGATTCTCTGCGAGCTATTAGACTAATCGCAATTTACTGGTCTTTCCCTCGTTTGTTTCATGGAGGACAACAAATGGTCCCTGAATCTCTGGGGGTGGAGGGGTGGTCTGGTAACATCTTTTGTTATCCAATATGGCTGGGGCTCAACCACCATTCAGAGCAACTTAAATTCCTCTAACTATTCTACATATTGTTGAATCCAAACGATTAATGATGGTTGAAGACCTGGAATGGAGAGCAGTGGGAGTTCTTTGGATGCAAGGTATTCAAATGACTACAAATGGTTGGCCTGATCTGTTCTATTTTTCAATGAATAGGTCATTGTGAGCTCGGCAAAATGAAAGTGCCCAATATTGTTTTGTAGGCTGGTCAGTGTTTTCTGGCCCACTGATGCCAAATAACATTGAATTGAAGTTTTGTTCTGATAATAAAACTTGGTGTTTTATTGATGGAAAACAATTTAGGTCACAGCAGGCATCCTGTAAGAATCATTACCGCTGGATGTGACACTATTAAGTGTGGCTTTATGTACAAATATATTTTTTGCACTAAGTTAACTCTTGCTTCACTGACTGAATAGGAGTTGCACATGTTTGGCAAAATAAATGATGTCCAAATTTAATGGAGGATTCATATTTTGCTCTTTTCCAGATTGCTAAACAACAATCAAATTAAATGGATACCAAGAAAAGCCTTTGAGGAGCTGGACAACTTGAGATACCTGTAAGTGGTGAATTGTCTATTTGGCTTCCCTACATGCCATCACCCTGATCGTTGTAATCTAGAAGTTTCATTTTCTGATTGTATATTTGTTGTGGGGTACAAAATTCACCATCTATTTTTCCCTTTGGTCTTTAACTGTTTTTGTTCCTGTAAATCTTCATTCCTATTTGTGAGAAACCACCAGGAAAAAGAGTACATAAACAGTGTGCTGAACTAAATGTTTTCAATACAGGATTTTTTTGAAGTAAAAGTTTAAAGTATAATTTAGTAGACTCCCAAGTTTGAGGTGAATAGTTGAGAAATGCAGGGATGAGAAATGTTAGGTTTGTTCCCTTATCTCTGCTAAAGTAATTGATCTCAATTGGAGAGGCAATAGGGTAGCTCCATTTGGTCAGAGCTTCTGAGATAGATGGAGGAAAACATCACAAGATTGATTTTGAATGAAGAATGTTCTTCAGCCTTGATAGATCTTATCCTTCCAGAATACCCACCCTACTGTTTTCCTATCATAGCATCAAGCTGTTTATTAAATGTGTCCAGTGTCTTGACCTCAACCACCCTTCCCGGTAATTTGTTCCAGTTAATTACCCTTTGGGTAAAGAAAATCCTTCTGGCATCTGTTCTAAAATTACCCTTTTGCAACCTTAAACCCATGTCCCTTTGTTCTAATGCCTTGGTGTATCCTAAAGTATTTGACATACCTCTCATGCATGTTGCGTGGTGTTCAGATGAGTGAAGGATTGAGTTTCCGTGCACTTCCCCCTAAATTGAACAGGCTTTTGTCAGGCAGTGCTAAGGTTCACCTATGAATTAAAGCTATTTCTGTAAGATTCATGAGGACAAGCAGCAATTAGAATGAATGTTACAGCACAGAAACAGAACCATTCAGTCTGTTGAACTTTAACACAATAGAAGGAAAAATGAGTTATAAACAGAAGAAAGGGAATAGAGAAAGTTACTCGGAAAAAGTAACAAACTTACTGTTAATTGTGGGCTGTGTTTCTCAATATATTTTAGTGTGAGGTGCCTCACCTGTGTCCCAAGCTGATAGTTGCTATCTTCAAAACTTAAGTTAGTACAGTATTGAATTAATTGCTAAAATAATCCTGGGAAACTTAAGCCTGAATAACACAATCATTTATATTCTACCATTTGTAGTGCAGCTAAATTTAAATTCCGATTCCTGCATGACTTTTAATATTTAATAAAAGTCACAACACCTCCGTACCTCATTATCTCAGTGAGGACAGTTATACCTGGATCTATTGCACTGAGGTATTGAGATGTGGAGCAGCTCAATAAGTTCATATGACATTTCCTGCAACATTCAGAAGCACAGCAGTCAAAGAGCAAACTAAAAACTGGAGACGAGCTGGTGAGGGAGAGGAGACAGTTGGTAGTTCTTGGACCTGCGAGACCTCTCACTCGAAGCCTCCAGATTTCCCCTGCCAAACATGGGAGTATGATTTCATTGCCACTATCCCTGGCAGGTTAAATTACAGGGCTGTCTCACTTCACATGTTATATTATACTACGTAGCACTGTGAAGGGGTTTATACCAATGGAAGGTGAACAGTGCAACTGTGACAAGGTTCTGTTTGTTCATGAGGTTTTTATAGCAGTGTAAGATCCCCAGCAAGAGGAAGTCTGGCATCACTTTGGCTTCCCACTGGCCACAGTACATCTCACTATTACGTGAATTGGTATGATGCTAATATTGTACTATTTCTTGCCAAATTTTTCTTTACCAATTTTCTCCCTTCCTCGTCTCTTGAAGGTATCAAGCTCCATTTTCTTTCCACTGGCATATGTTTGACAGGCACTGGTGACCTTGTCTAACTGGGCTATTAATGATGTGTGAGCCTCTCCAATGTCATTGGCAGACTATTTCGCCTCTAGGGGATTCCCAGCTGAATCTGGTCCTGTTTGTACTTGCCATCCACACCTATTACACAAGTCAACAAGAGTCATTAGATACTGATCAGGAGCAGGAACCTTGGCTGATTTTCCCATCCCTAAGATAATGTTGCTGAGTTATCAGGTCACCAGTGCCTGTCAAACATATCAAAACAGTGGTTTTGTGGTCTGTATGGATTTAAGATGTTGATCACTTGACTCATCAGGCTGTCAAGGAAGCTCAAAAGCTGAAATGTGAAAGTGTAGAGTGAAAGGTGACTAAGTTAGCCATTTGGAGGTGATGTCTGGTGCCAGTAGCCACAGTAATTCCAGTTTAGAGCTGTGTCCCCTGGTTGAGCTCTATGAGGTCAGCTACATTTCAAACTGCGTGGATGTCATGTGAGATTTCTATGAGGTGAACTACATCTGTCTGTCCCAGTTCCCTTTCCCTGACTCTTGATGCTCTAAGTGAAGCTTGCTGGGCATCCAAAATATATACATACATTTATGTGGAATTGAACAGAATTTACAAACATCAAAACAGGTCATTTGGCTCAACTGGTCAGTGCTTGTGTTAATACTCCACAAGAATCTCTACCCATCCTAATCCCTTTTTTCTAGCCTCCTCCTTGCCCATCTATTATGCTTTTCCCTCTTGTAAACATTTATTTTATAAGTGAAAGAACTCAAGTTGTCTGACTACTATGTGTAAAACTCACAGAATAGGAACTGCAGTTATAGTTTATGGCTGGAGCTGTGATTAGTGGGGCCACTTGAGGTAATTTGAATGTGTTTTCTGGGGTGAAATTTTTGGTTTGAAGCAATATTGGACAAAAATCAAAAGCATTTGCCAAGAACATTTTCAGTGATCAAAAAGGAAAGTCAGAGTTGCTATCAGGCTTTACTGCTATGATCAACATCCAATTGTTGTGTTCAGTCAATCTTATGTTCTTGTATAAGACCTTGGGGTTCTTGTTTGACCCTCAACTATCATTTCTACCTCACAACTGCGCCATAACCCATTCTGCCTTCTCCGCAACGTCGCCCGGCTCCGACACTGTCTCACACCGCAGGCCACCGAAACCCTCATACACGCCTTCAATACATCGAGACTAGACTATGCAAACTCCCTGCTTGTCGACCTCCCCAACTCCTCCCTCGACAGGCTGCAAATCATCCAGAACTCTGCAACCCATGGCCTCTCCCGCACGAGGCTCCACGACCCTATACCCCCCATCCTTGCCCAACTCCACTGGCTTCCCATCACTCAGAGGATTCAGTTCAAGATCCTAGTCTTCACCTTCAAAGTCCTCCACGGTCTTGTTCCCCCCTACCTCTCTGATCTCCTACCACCCTGTTTGGTCCATACGCTCAGCAGGATCCGTCCTGCTTCATATCCTCTGCCTCACTCTCCCCACTATCAGTAGGTGGGCCTTCCACCACTCTGCAGCCACCCTCTGGAACTCCATCCCACAGTCCCTCCATCTCACCCCTTCCCTCGCCACCTTCAAGACCCACCTCAAGACCCTCCACTTCAACCGTGCTTTCAATCTCCATGCTTCCCCCCCTGCCCTCCACCCTCCCCCACCCCGACCCTCAGCTCAGGTCCGTAACTCTGTCTGTCCAGCACCTTGGGATGTCCTCCCGACGCGAAAAACGCTATACAAATATGATTTTGTTGTTGTTGTATGATGACTGCCTCTGGGTGATTAAAAAGTGCACTGATCAAATCCTCATTAACTTTATTTAAATCTTTACTTAGAGGAATATATTCTGTGGTATAAATGTAAAGTTACAAGAAAGTTATCTGTAATGTTATTTACTGTTTGATATTTCACTCCGGTGAGTAACTTCATCAATATTTGCCTCCAGAGCCATTAATGTAACAGCAATTAGCTGTGATGAGCTTTGACATGTTTTAATGTCATAGGGATTATATCAAATACAAGAATTATCATTGAGTCCTGGAATTCAAGTTCTAGCATTCTGGATCTTCGAATACAAGATCCAAATCCCTGCGACTTCTTACAATCCTACCGATTACCCATTCCCTCAGCCTGTTTCATGTCCCCTGCCCGACCAGCATGAGCTTTCAACCATTCTACCTCCGCTCTCAGCAACTAAATCTCGGAGTCTCTCGGCCTCGCCTTGCCCCTCTCCACCTTTAAAAGTCACCTTATGATATTTCTTTTCAATCATGTTTTTGATCATCCTTCCCCACCCTCCTTCCTCAGCTCCCCCACTCCCAGCTCGGACTCCATGTCAGCACTATATAAATGTAAAATCGCCATTGTTTATTGATGCTGGACAACACCCTAAAGCTAACATGGTCGGGTCACACTAACTTTCTGACTTATTTTCAGTTACCTGTACAAGAACGACATCCAAACAATTGACAGGCAAGCGTTTAAAGGGCTCGTTTCACTGGAGCAGCTGTAAGTAATCCCTGCTACTCACAAGAGTTTAATAATGAGCGGTTTTCAGCTGTCATCATAATGCTTTTCTCTTTGTCTGAAACTTTTTTTGAGACGTTTTCATTTGGTTTCCAGCTTCTCTTCAATCTAACTATTTAATGCGCATGTAGAATATACTGGCTTAAAGAGGACATTTAGTGCAGTTACTCCATCCTCTGCCCCAGAACAGGCACTAAGCTTCCTCTGAGCGACTCTCTTCCTCTCTCAGGGATCTTCAGTATCTCATCGCTACTTCTGCTCTTCCAAACTCTTACGAACTCTTCAACACTCGTTTGGTGCCTTATTGCTTACCTTTTCTTCCTTATTTTGTGGGCTTTTCAGTTGCTTGACTCATCATTGATTTTTATCTTTCTTACTCTACGCTCCAAATATAACAGCCGCTGCTGAGAAGCTGAGTCCCTGAGCTCCACCTCGGTACCTCCAGCAATGTCACTTTTGAAGTCGGCCACTTGCCATGCATAGAATTACTGCCAAAAGCATATTTCTTGCGATTTAATGGCACGGTACACCACAAGCAGTTAATTGTTCGAATCTTTGAAACATTTATATCATTTCTCTATGAATCTACAGTTTAATGATGCAATGATGAATTAAAATAATTTATACATGTTATCTCCATCAAAACGTTAATTAAGTTAAACGTTATGGAGTCAGATCCTTTCCTGTCATAACTGTTTCCTTTTCCAAACCAGTACAGCATAAAACACTCCCTGGATTCTGCCTTTGCACTGAAGAACAGCAAAGGTTCATGAACATTTTACTCCAGTGAAAGAATAAAGATAATGTAATGTCTTTCTTGTCTACAGACCATCACCACCTTGCAAATGTTGTCAGAATATGCTTTGATGTTAGCTGCTTAAACAATGACACCAGACATAGTTAATTAGATCATGCTGGAGATTTAAGGCATTATACAACTGCAACCATGCAAATTGTTCATCTGCTTATATTTCTATCAGTATCTCCACTTAGGGTTCTAATGTCCTGTCAATAGTCTCTTGAACTAATGCCAGTATTTTGAAAGACCTATATGATTCTAGTACACAAGATAACATGCAGCTCCTCTTCTTTCTCCAATTATGTACATTGACCCTGTTTGAAAGTCTCCATGGCATAAATGCAATGGGACATATAAAATAACAAGCTGTGGATTTAGTCCTTGCAGTATTCAGCTACAGACAGTGATGACAGAATTAGCTGATTGTCAGATTTATTTTTCTTCTTGGAGACATCTTGATGCAGATGGCGATGAAGCGAGAGATTGCAAAAGCTACATGTAACATTGACAACTTCAGAGAATGGGTGAGATTATACCAGAGCTCTACATGCTCTTGGCGCTCAAAGCAACTATCTGTCTGCCCGATGGTGAACTCAACATGCACGTACTGGATGCCAGATAAGATTCCTAAGCCTGCCAGTTGATGTCTTGCCTGCCAAACCTTTCCTGCTAGCATTTCAACCAACAGATAGGAAGAGCAGGGCAATTCAGGCTGTCAGGTAGGTTCCTGCGCTAATATTCGTTGGGAACCAGAACAGAATCGTGGAGCTATGAGTCGATAACCGAAAGTAAGATAGAAAGTTAGCACCAAATTGAGGTTTACCACCCTTCCTAGTAACTCATTCCAGCTCTTAATAATCTCTAATCCTGCTGCTTCAGTGTATTTGACAGCATTTTCTTTTCTATTTATGAACAGAGTACAAGAACATGCTCGTCGGTTAATAAGTGATCCTTTCCTCATCCCTGGCATTATTATTCAAACCTCAGAGTGCAAGCTTACGCTGCACTGCTGAGGGAGGACTACTGTCGTTGGTGCTATCCTTCGGATGAAACATTAAACCTAAGTCCTGTCTAGTTGTTCAGATGAGTGATTAAGATCTCATGGCACCATTCAGAAAGTGAATGAAGATTCTCCTAATGTTCTGGCTAACAATCTGCCAGATAAAATTGCTCATTCACTTCATATTTATTTCTGCGATCTTGTGTGCAAATTGGCTGGTACGTTTGCCTACGAATGCATCATTGCATTTAACAGTAATTATCCATGAAGTATTTTGAGACATTTCAATATCGTAGACTCTATATTGTCTATTTTATAAATGCTTCCTTGCTTATTGTTCCTTTAAACTTTTCCGCTTTTTGTTCCTCCGATGTCGTTAATACACCACATTGCAAGAAACCAATTAATAATAATAATCCTTACATTTGATATAGCATTTTATCACCAAATTATTTTTATCATCAAAACATCTCAGAGTGCTTCACAGATTTACTGAAAAGTGTAATGGATGTGTATTTTGTCGACAAACATAAATGCCAATTTGCCTATGAACAGCCATGAAGTGAAAAATCAATTTTATCTGGGGGAATGTTGGCCAGGACACTGGGAGAAACTTTTTTCCCTTTTTGAATTTTATCATGGAATCTTTAATATCCCTGAACAGGGAGACAGTACTGCAGTTTAATAATAGATACAGTATATATAGTTAATACATATTAAAGTCTACAGGAATGTGGAAGATACAGTTCCCAATGTATCACTTAAATTAAAGTCCATGGTCCATATGGGAGCTGGGGCTAGTTCAATGCATGCTTTTCCTAATTGAGCATGTTGTATAAGATATATTGAGCGGTTACTAGAGGATACTGGTGTCCTGAGACGAACACAGTCAGGATAAAAGGCTGAGCTGAACATGAAGCTGCCAATGTGATAATGACGTGATCAATGTTTCATGAGCTACATTTATTATAAATTTATGATGCATGTTACCCATTGTCCTCAAACATTTATGTGTTCACAGGCCTGCTGCAATATCACATCTTAATCATTATTGTGGTTGCAACTACTTTTTAAATATTAAATATGAATTAATTATTGATAACAATATGGTTCCAAGTGTTACTGATGGAACCTAATGGCTTGAAAGTATAGTTGATTTGCAATACTTATAGCGGAGAGAGAATACCCTGTGAATTAAGGTGCATTATTTTGCAGCAAGACTGTTCCTATCCTGTCAAGTAAGAGAAGCACACACACTATTTATTGCTTAAGTTACTCCCCCACCTCCTTCTTAGTTGATGCAAAACTGCACCTGCAATAATGGTTTTACTGGCAAGGTCCAGACCAGAAATACTCATAATATTCTGTAATCATTTTATTTGGGGATACCCTGGCCAAGATAGAACAGAGGAGAGCAATGAGGATGGTCCACAGTATTTGAGGAATAAGCTATGAGAAATGATTAGACAAGTTAGGGCTTTTGAGTCTTGAAAGGAGACATCTAAGAGGGAACCTTATAGAGGTATACAAAATTTTAAATGGGATTATTAGTGAATCCCAGAAAATAATGCAAATTTGGCTCGAAGGCAAAATGTTGCAAAGGGGAGAGGGGGAGAGAGAAGCTAGATGGAGTTGAAGGATTACTCGGCTGAGAATCATGCAACAGAAGAGAGTTTCTCCGGGTGTCCTGGCCAACCATCCCCCAAATAAAATTGCTCATTCACTTCAGTGCTGTTTATGGGGCATCACTGTGCACAAAATTGGCTGCCCCATTCACCCACTAAACACGCAGTCACTGCACTCTACAGTATATCCTGTGAACTGCTTCAGGATACCCTCCTGACATGAAAGGCGTTATCCTAAATGTAAAGATTATTTATTATGGGGATTTTGTTTTCCACTCTGAAGGAGGAAGATTGGATAACTCACAGTCTTCAACAAAGAGAATCCAATGAAGAGCATTTAAATTTCTGTGTCAGCAAATACAATATTTGCATTTGACTTTCTCCTTTGGAGTCTGTATCTACCTTTGGTGTTGCCAGCCTTTCTTTATGGATGCCATTTAGTGGCTCACTTTTTTAGGTAGTTTCGCATCTAATAAAAGGAAGAGGCGTTCTTCATAATATTATAATTCTGTACTAGGGCCTTACCTAAAATGTATTACATATGGATCTTCTATGACAGTCTTAACTGGATAATATTTCCATTCATGACACATAACACATGCTATAGAATGGTACTAAACATTTAAACCATTTACAGTGTTACTTTTACGATTTTACACAGGAATCTGTGACAGCCTTTAAATATGTGTGTTATTTACATTGATGTGGCACTGATAGACCTTTCTGTGGTTGTAATGTTGGTGCTATATTTAACATTGATTCCCACTATGTTCTCACTATGCTCTTCACTTAAAATAAAACATGACAAAGCCATTAGATAAGTTTTCATCCTGTTATCGTAAAGATACAGAAATCATTTGGATACTTTCTTACATTTCAAATGCAAATCCTGTAATTTGATTTTCAAGTGGAAATATAACCTTTTTGATGATGATTTTGCTTCTCTAGGTGTGCATGAGTAAAGCATATTCATGAGATCAATTTATTGTCAAGCAGACAATTCACTGTTTGAATTATTCCTATTAATGTCTTGATGTCAGCTTGTCTCAGTTGATAGCACTCTCTTCTCTGCCTCAGAAGGTCGTAGGTTTAATTGTCATGTTGGAATTGAGCTTATGGTCTAGGATTCCATTCAAAATTAGAGAAGCACTGGAGAAAGTCATTTGAAGGATGATATTTGAACCAAGATCTTGTCGGCCTGGACATTAAAGATCCCATCATACTATCTGAAAACAGAAGGACATTTCCCTCAATGTCTCCTACAATCCTCCAGATTAAATTAATTATTCACTTCACGGCTGTTTCTCGAGCATTCCTGTGCACAAAGTGGCTGCTGTGTTTGCCAACAAAAACAGTGATAAAACTTGACCATAATTATTGTAAAGTGCTTTTGATGCTTTAACATGATAAAGCACTATAAAAATGGCAGTTAATTGTTTCTTTCATTAAGTAAACAGTGTCCTGGGAATAGTTGATCCATTTTAAATTGATTCCTATTAATAGGATGTCCTTTAGTTGACATTTGATTCATAGCTCACCTGTGTCTGAATGGTAAAACAGGATGATACAGAATTCTAACAAGACAAGAGAGTGAAGGCACAGAACATGCTTCCTTAAATCAATTAAGATGATCAAAGCATATTTTTCCTAAATTAATTATTGTGCCTTAAATAAAATTAATAAAAGCTTCATTAGATTTTCTTTTGCTGTACGCTTTATTCCCTTTTAAGTGTTATTGCTACTGTAAATTGGGATTCTCAGTTAGCAAACATAGAAAAGCAGAATGAGCAGAGTAACAAGGTACAAGTCCATTGCAAGGCCTGCTCATACAGCACCTTGTCCACCATGGGTTTGACCGTCAGATCTGCAGTTCTGCTGATCCATTTCTTTACTTTTTCAACAGTGACTGAAATTCATAAACCTGCAGCCACTGGGCAGCGTTTAGTCTAGCATTTACATAATGGTTGGGCAGAAAGTTAGAACTTACAAACAGCAGAGTATGAAGTAATCCCCTAAACATTGGATGAAAAAAGTTCTGTCTGGCAATTTCTGGCTTGGGATCCTTTTCATACACTGAGGGCATTCTGACCCAAAATCTAAATGTTAGGAATATTTTGTTTTCAGTATTAACTGGCTGGGGATGTGTACACAGTGAACAACAGCAACGGCACTAATCCAAAGAGCACCCCATGGAGTCTAATGTGGAAAATGATTCCAATTGCTTGAGATATCAGGAAATTACTAATTCTTGTTGTATAAAAGTCATTTTACCAATGTTAATGCAGGGTAGAATAATGGCCTGACTGTTAGTTATGACAAGTTGCTTGTAGAATTCTGGCATCATTCAGGTAGAAATTGGAAAGATTTCCAGCTCTTTGGACTGGTGAGCTTTTTGCTCTGCATGAAATACGTTTGCATGATACAAAAGTTAAGCTGATGTGAATTACTTAGTCACATATATTGTGGTTTATATCAAGCTCCGATTGCAAGAACTGTGGCTACAGTAATATATAAGAAAAGTTCCCAATTTACAGTAGCTTGGTTTGGTTTCTGAAAATAAACCTCTTTTCAGCCAGCCATTAATATTAACTCTTCCATGAATTTTCTCAACAGATATATTCACTTCAACCACATAGAGATACTAGAACCAGAAACTTTTAGTGACCTACCCAAACTAGAGCGATTGTAAGTGCTGCATGAATTGTTGTTTAATCTGCGTTTCTGTTTCCGTCTTTGTCATTTAAGTGACTGACCAGACTAACTGTGCCTTGGATTGATAACTAACCATGGTCTTGGTTATAGCTCCCTTGAAGGAACAGCTTGATAAAAAGCTTTTAACCATTAAGTGCATGTCACTGTTTGCACCTATTTCATATGTTGTTGAGAAATTTGTTTAAAAAAAATCTATGTTATAACCATTACCATTCAAACTTTTCAGAATATTATTTTACAGGTAAGAGAATTTGTGTTTGTGTCTTGAACAACAACAGGAACATAGGGGCAAATGCAGATTGGAACAGAATTAGACAAAGAAATGGGATTGCAAAGATTTGCTATGATCTAATAAAAGTTTTTTTAAAAATAAAATAACTAACACTTTATCACTCTACCATCTCACTCTATATATCACTCTTTTAAATATCTCAATCAATTCTACTTTCTGGCAGGGTGCAATCCATATTCTCACAACCCTCTGTATAAAGAAATGTCTTCTGGTTTTACTGCTAACCAGCTACAACAACAACAACAACAAGATTCCATTTATAAAGCGCCTTTCACGTCAGGAGGACGTCCCAAGGCGCTGCACAGTTGGGTCATGACCCGAGCAGGGGGGAAATGGTCAGGGTGAGGGGAGGGAGCGAGGAGGGGGGAAATGGTCAGGGTGAGGGGAGGGATGGGAGGGAGCGAGAAGGGGGAAGAGAGTCGAGAGGGGAGCTGAAGGCTCGGTCAAAGAGCTAGTACTGCCCCTCAGTTTTGGATCAATCTACCAGAAGGAAGTCTTTCCCTATTTAGTTTATTTGCCTTCATTAGTGTAAACCATGTTACCTCAGCCTCTCATCACAGATAAGACATGTACAAATTTGGCGAAATGCCACTGGGCATCCTCCAACACAAATATATCCTGCTGAAGATTTGACTCCCAAACTGAGCAATACTCCAAATGATTTCTAACAAACACTTTGTACAATTACAGCAGCACTTCCTGGTTATAATTCTATTAATGACACCTTTTTGATGGCACTTTGCACCTGCGAAACTAGCTTTTAATGACTTAAGAACTTGGGGTTTTGTTCATTTAGCCCTTTTGTGCTTTCCCATTTAGATTCTATTGCATGTCCAAAGTATTGTATCCACACTTTGATACATTAAACCACATCTGCCACAATTCCAACTATTCAATCTCTGTGTGTCTCTTTAGACTTTTTTGTTCTTATCTTCACAAATTTACTGCACCTCTGAGCATTGTGGCATCAGCAAACTTGGACCTATTCCTAGATCCAGGTCATTTATATTGAGCACAACATTTCTGGGGCCCCAGCCATGTTCTCTGGAGTATATATCACCTCTCACTGCTAGTCCTGTTTATTAGACCCTTATTATCCAACCAATTTCTTATTAATGTCATGGGATTTCTTCCAATTTACCTTAATATTAACTGGTAATTTCTTATGTGGCAAATGCCTTCTGAAACGCCAATATAAATTGGTCCAGAAACAGTACAGAAATTAACTAATCTAAAAATATTTCACAGAATTTGATGCCGGACCCAAGTAATACTGCCAAAATCACCATTTTAGTTTGTAATTCACAACTATATTCATAATTCAGCAAAACTAAAGCCCATGTTTAAAGTAATATTGAATTTACAAATAACTAAACGAATAAAGAACAGCAATGCATTTCCTTGCAGAGTCAGAATCCACATATCCAAAAAATACTGAGTTAAACACTGAAAGCTTTCGAATTGGTGCCCTGAGCAATGATGGGCATGTGGGAGGGTAGAATACCCTAACTGATACTGGATTGAAGGTTACCTTTCATTACAAAGATACTGTACTGTTCAAATGCACTTTTCACAGCATTTTTAAATCAATAATTTACAGAGCATTGACATAAATTGACATAAATTGACATCTTGACCACCCAGAAACATGATTGCTATTAGCATGAGCACATCAATTTACATAACCTGGAACACATGGAAGAGGACATTTGGCCACTAAATTGAATATCTAGCCAGGAATGATGCACTATAGAGATTTTTCAGCTTGCACAAAATACTCTTAAACTGACTGATGATGGTTCTTCCACACTCAGATGAATAACCTGTAATGCACTTCAGTGAATTCTGGTCCAAATTACAAGTAGTGAGTGTGAAGTCCATGAGTTTGCTGTGCAGTTTGATTCCTTGCGTCTTCTGCGATTAAATCAATCTCCTGATGGCTTTTAGACTCCTTTTTCATTCTAATGGTTCCTTAGGTGCTGCATCGTCCTCCAATAACTCTCATCAAGTTGTCACTATCCGTGCGAATCTCAAAAGTCAATTCAACAGCAGAAGGTATCACAGCTGAGCCAGATCCCATTGTCACTTAGCGTTCACATATACACACATTCCAGCCGAGATTTCTGATTAGGAGCGGGAACCCTGACTAGTTTTCCCTCTCCATTACCCAAGGTGGTCAGCCAATTGAAACAGCTGGACTGTTGTCCCAGCTGAGATCAGTTCCAGTGCTGTTCTGGCCAGTAGCCAGTGCTGTTCTGGCCTTTAGACACTGGGTTATAGGGGAGCTGCTGCCTTTTTTTCTTTCTTAACCTTAATTTTTTACTAAAATTATTCACAAAGAATAAATCTGAAATAGTACACGAGATCTATAATGCAATGCCATGTTGTGTCATGACCCAACTGTGCAGCGCCTTGGGACGTCCTCCTGACGTGAAAGGCGCTTTATAAATGGAATCTTGTTGTTGTTGTTGTTGTGTAAATGGTTGTGAGCTGCTATAAACGTTAATACTGGCAAGAGTTCCTCATGGGATCTCAGCAGAGTGACAGCAACTTGCTGTCCAGCACTAAATGATATCACAAGCACCATTCAGAAATGGAGGTGTGCACAAAACACAGCGGTAACTCGCAGACTACTAATGTGTTTAGCATAAACACTGTTAAAGTGAACGTAACCCATGTTAACCCAGTCTCTCATCACAGCTAAGAAAAGTATAAATTTGGTAAAATATCACTGGGCATCCTAAAAACATGATGCTTTCAATGAGAATATGCAGAAATAATAATAATAATAATCCGTGCATTTGATATAGTGCGTTTCACGTCTTCTAGACGTCCCAAAGCGCTTCACAGAATAGACTGTAAAGTGAATTGACTGTATATTTGTAGGCGAACGCGGCAGCAAATTGCACACAGCAGTGTCCCACAAACAATCATGGATTGAAAATGACCAATTTATTATTGTTTTTGGTTTTGGAGGGATTACTATTAGGCGTGTGGAGTAAGGAAACTTGCCCAAGGTTTCGCCCTGCCTGGAATTGAACTCAGGTCTCTCACTTGCAAAGCGAGTGCTCTAACCACTGAGCTACAGGACTCCACTGCAAATAGCAATGCTATTGCAAAAAAGTGGGAACAAGGCCACATCAAGCTAAATTTCACTAGTTTGTTCCAATATTATGGTCATTACTTGACTCTGCAATGTGTACCCTGGGGACAGTAATGACCTCCAAAAAAGATATTGCTCTAGGTCAAAAAGAGGCCATAATTTGAAATCAATTGACCAATAATTGCATATCTAATAAGTTTAAAATAACAGATTAGTAGCACTTTTACCCTCAGTTATTTCATTTCTCAATATTTGATTTGATTTGTAAACTGATGCCTGCTTAAAACTGCCAGAGAAAGAATCAATAGATGCACCAAACAAGCATGTTTGGGTAATGATTAAAAATGTCTTACAGGCAAGAATTCAGCAAAAGTTTGGACAGCATCTAGTCCATGAATGTGTGGATCAGATACTCACACATACAACAAACACTAGCTTCTCTAGGATCAGTTGGTAAAATCTTCTCCCACTATGAAACAGGAATAGTGTGTCCAACTATAATAAATAATAATCCTTGCATTTGATATAGCGCTTTTCACGTCGGGAGGATGTCCCAAAGCGCTATATTTAGGTATTACAATCCCTGACTACCAGTTTTTAACTGGGACAGGATAATGCAATTTTCTTGCAAAATTTGCCTTTTGTGAGCTCTAAAAACTGTACAGTCAAGTTCAAAGTAATGTTTTAAACTCGTCACACCAGCTCTGAACAAACCTGTATTTTTGAGAGATCAGACATATGTTCTAGAATGCCAGAGATCAAAAGCTCCCCACCCTACACCACCAAAGGTCAGCCTTCTGCACGCCTCTTCACCCACCTCACCCTCACCTCGCACACACCGTTCACCTAGGAATGCATGTCATTGCAGATGGATTCTAATAGGCGAGTATTGAGTTGAGCAAAATGAGTTGATGTAGACCACTATCCAGATATTGCCTGTAAATGTGAACATTATCAAGAATATTTCATCCTTAATGATAAATATAAAGTGTTGTAGGTTCTAATACCCATTCTCTGTGTTATTAAACTCACCTGATTTGTTTCACAGGTTCTTACACAACAATAAATTGTCAAGAATTCCTGCTGGGACCTTCTCTCATTTGGATTCACTAAAGAGACTGTAAGTGGTGGGAAAGTGTGCTGGTTATTTTGTATTGCTTCAGCACCCAGCTCAGAGCCGTATGATTGTAATTTGCTTATTTCTTAAATCACTGAAGTCCGCTGGTTTAAAACACTGGTAATACACTCACTCCATTTTACAGCAAAACCCATGAAGCACTTTGAGAAGTCCTTCTCAAATGGAAGACACTATATCAAATACGAGGGATATTAGTATTATTATTAATCCCCTGTTACTCTGCTGGTGAGATTTGCCCCTCCTAGTCTATTAACCAAGTCGAACCAAAGTGCTTTCTGCTTCGGATCACCAAAACCACGTTCTTAGTCTTAAAACCAGTATCTTAATATTTAAGTTTGTGCAGAATTTTGGAACTGAACCTTACTCTAGCTCATTTTTGGGCTACTGCAGAATATGGACTTCCAACCTGAGACTGAATTTAAGACTGTTTTCCAAAATTCCACATTTAATTTCTATTTAAATTTTAAGATAATGGTCTTAATCCTAAGAATGTGAGAAATTATGAAGCCCAGGTATGAAATAAAATTTCACAGACTTGTACATCTACAAAATACACAACCACCACACTTTATAGTAAATACTGTGACATGCTTTGAGATGTCTTCCTGGCATGAAAGGCACCGTATCATATGTATGGATCATTATTATTTTTCTAATTTTTAAGACTAAAATTTCACATTACTCATTTCCAAATGTAGATGGATCCCATGGTAAACCATCCTTCCACCTGCCAGGATTTTTTTGTTTGTTTCCCTTCTTTTGTCTCACCTTATGGAGCTTGGGGAAAGTACTTGAATAAAGTCAGGTCTTACTTACATTGAATTTGGGAACTATAAAAATAGGTGGGATTGAGTGTCGAATGCTGTGTCAAGATATGAATGACTGTACTAATCCTGCCTTTTATTCTGATCTTTCTCTGTTCGCAGTCGTTTAGATTCCAATGGCCTGGTCTGTGACTGCGAGCTGATGTGGTTGGCAGAACTGCTTAAGAACTATGCCCAGAATAGCCAAACCCAAGCTGCAGCAACTTGCGAATATCCCAGGAAACTGCAGGGCAGATCAGTTGCCTCGGTAACAACAGAAGAGTTTAACTGTGGTACGTTTTATTGGCACTTGTAACCTTCCTCCGCTTGGCATTGCTGTTAAATTGCACTTTTTACTGACTATGAAACTGCACATAAAACAAGAAGAAGTGAATTAATACAAAGTAGAACAAAGCTCACTAAAGGATTGCTGAGCAATTGAAATTACTTTGAGAAGCAGTGGTGTTGGTATGTATTTCTTTGGAAAAATGCTTCTCAAAGATTATGAATGCCAAAAGTCTTAAAATTTTGAGAATCCCTGCTCTATTTCAGAAACAACAGTAATTAGCACACAAAAGCACAGAGTGGTTATTAAAAATAGATTAAAGCCACAATTAAAATGAACATGGACTGGAGAATTCAAAGTGTCTGGAAAGGTGAAGGTGCTGCTAATGAGAAACATACAACAATGTCTGTGTGTACTGAGCCCAGAACCTCTGTAGTTTAGGTCGTACAGTTCCTTTTTACAAAAAGAATGTTCAAATAAACCTTCATTAATAATAATTTAATAATAATAAAAAATTGTGACTATTCCCCTCGTATTTCACTGGATTACCAGAGGATCTGGGAGAAAACCGTATTCTGCTGGAAGCTTTTTTTTAGCCTACATCATTTTTATTTCTGTACACTCTTCCTCTCTCAAAGGCAACCAACTCCTATTTGCTTCTACAGAAAATAGTTCCACAAGCACCAGTTATCCTCTGGTACTTTACCCAAATAGACATTATTCATCTTTGAGGCTCGACAGTGAGAGCTGATAGGATGCTTAAATGAATGGAGCATCACAGCCAAATCTAATCCTGTCTTTGTTCAATGTCCACATAATGTACTTGTCCCTTCTATCAGGCATCTCTGATTGTGGATTGGGTGTTGTGGACAGTGGGGTCAATTGTATAGCTTCTGTAGCAAAGTAGGCTGATGGACAGATTGACCGCTTATTTCATATGAGCTTATGGTCTAATACTTAGCAAGTCTTTCAATCTGATTTCCCCTGGTGCAAGAGTAGTTTCACATCAACACTAGACTTATCTGCCCTGAAACGCACTAGAAATAAACCAACTTGCCACACAGTGGCCGGCGCATGGTGCAGATTGTACCAGCAGGACTGTGGTACATTATTTGCAACACAAGAGAGAAGGTGATGTAAAAATGCTCTGAACGTTTAACAGCTGCTGGTGCTTAGCAGGGAGCACAAATTACTTTCAACCAAACAGTGCAATTTGCACTATTAAACAGGGGATGCAGGAATAAGTGGCAGATTGTCAGAATGTTAGGAGTTGAACCAGAACAACAATAAAACAAGACCCCTGGGAGGATCTGGTATATAACAGGTGTCAATATGTTGCTTCATTAGATTGAAATCCCATTGTCTGAAATGTGAAACTAAAGGCACATTGTAACGTAAAGCTTTGGCCATTTAATCTCAAAACTTTTTATTTTCTGTTCTTAATCAGGTGAAGGCCCAAGCTCAACACAGGCGATTGAAACCAGCTTTCCTTCTTGCCTGTTTTATTTGGTAACAGTGAGGCGTTCCAAGATTAAAGCCCAAATCCATTGCATTTTATGACAACTTCTGTTCCTTATGTTTTACTAAACTGAAGTCTTTCAGATGCAAGATGAAAAACACATGGGGGACATGTGTTCACTTAGCAAGCTCGAAATTGCCAATAACTCTTTCTGCCTCCAAATTTATAGTAAATATGACACCTGGCTTTAAGTCAAGCTGCCTGTTTTCTTCAATGCCTTTTTTCTCTTCCCATTAAAATATCAGCCACTTAACAAATGATATTCTCACTCTGTTGAGTGTAAGTGCTATGGATATATGTAAATCACAGCAGTGTGCAAGCCACCCCTCCTATTCTCTGTAACTGATATGCCTGGCAAGGATGAGAGCAAAGCCATAGCAAAAATGTGAAATGATCCCAGTCTGACTCATTTGATCAGGTCACGTGTATGTCTGTTAATAAATAAGGTTTAGGCTTTGGGATGGCTGAAAGGTTAGTTTTGTTTTGTTCCTTATTATAAAGGGTACTGCCTTCCCTGCAGTAAAGTATAAATCAGAAGAAGCAAGTATCACTTTCACTATGGTTATGGGTCAAAAATACAAGAGTTGTAACTTGGACCTGTCAGGAACGAGATAAATTGCAGCATAGTTGCCGTGTACCAATTTGTTGGGCATCCAATTTCTGTCAGGATTCACGTCAGGAGGATGTCTCGAAGCACTTCACAGGATTTACTGTAAAGTATAGTGACTCTGTATTTAGTAGGCGAAAACAGCAGCCCATTTCCACACGGTAACGTACACTAACAGCTACAGAGTAAACAATTCTAGTTGTGGCAGGACACTGGGAGAAACTTCCTTGTCTTTTTGAATAGTGCCATGGGAGTTTAACATCTAGCTGAACAGGCGGACAGGGCCTTGGTTTAATGTGTCATCTCTTTTCAATCACATCACCTTCGAGCACAGCCGTTGTGCTGAAGGAAGTAGGGGGTGATCCAGGTCTAAAAGCAGTCGGAAACTATCGACTGACATTCTTCTCCTGTTAAAACAGATTCAGTGTGATAATTTTCAGATTTAATTTGTCAGCAAATGTTGCAAATGTATCCCGATAGTATTTACAATCAGGAAATCCAGAAGAAAATGTTGCCTTATTAAAGTTCTTGCTGATACACTGGTGTCTGGTGTATTGAGATTAAAGGCTATGGTTCGAAAGCACTTTCTGGCTTCAGTTCCTGAAAATGTTCTCCAAGACATTTTTTCCAAACTTAAAAGTAGTATTTGAAGTACTTCTGTAAATGTATTTTAAAGTTCACCCACTAAGTAATTCATATCCATAGCATGTTCTTTCCAAGTCTTCTGCTGTGATTCGCAGAACCATTTGTTACTTGCAAAGTGCCTTTCACATGGAATAAAAGTCTTATTAAATCTAGCTTAATAGAGGTATATACATATAGAAGTTAATAAATAGGGAGCACCAAGCAGGGGGAAGGAAGAATTGACAATAAATAAGATTAAAAATATATTTCTGAGAGAGTTTTGAGAACAGAGAGAGAAATGAAGCAAAGCAAATACATTTTGGAAGATAGTTCAAGAAGGCAGGGATATAGTAGCTGAAGGATCAGTCAACAATGATGAGACATAAAGAGCATTAGACCAGAATCAGCAGAACATGCAGGTAGGAGAGTAGGGATTAGAGAAAGTTTTCAGAGGTAAGTATAATTGGAATCTGCAGCTGAATACCAGTTTCAAACTTCAGTCACCAAAATACATTTTCAAAAATTAATCCTTTCCATTTCCATTCATGCCTTGGGCTGATGCCAGTCCCAGTTGTGTGTACTATATTTGTGACACTACAGTATTTCATTGTCTGAATTTCTCTTCACCAGCATTAAACCATGGTTACATTGTTACTGCCTGGCAGCTGATCAATGTCCCGACTTAGTAGACACTTATGTACCTTCCAACTCTCCACACAATAACATAATGTTTAAGATAAACATTGGGGATGAAATTACATTTGTGAAAATTGGATTTGAGTTAATGATTGCCAGAAAAGCACCTTTATTTCAGTGGTTGGGGGCATACAATTCACTGCTTGCAAATCTTACTATGAACCTCGCAATTTGATTTTGCAAACGGGTAGCCACTTGAATCCAGTTTGAGAATATTGCATTTTCAACAAATCATTATTTTATATTTCTATCCATTTATCTTTAAATAGTACACAGTGTCTTTAGTCTTAACAACATCTTCTCAGTGTGTGATCAGGCTCCATATACCTCCTTGTCTGCTGCTTGAACCATCCGCTGCTTTTAACATTGTTTCCTCAAACCATCTCTTCTTGCTTTCAAAACCCTTTCAAAAGCTTTATTATTATTAATAATAATAATAATCCTTGCATTTGGTTTAGCACATTTCATGTCGGGAAGACACCACAAAGCGCTTCACAGGATTTACTGTAAAGTGAAGTGACTGTGTATTTTTTAGGCAAATACGGCAGCCAATTTTGCACATTGCAATGTTCCACAAACAGCTGAGATATGAATGAATAATATTATTTGTTGGCCAGGACACTTGGAGAAACTCCCTTCTGTTTAGATCATGTTTTAATCACTTTGCTCCTACCCACCCTCTTCTCTCTCTTGCTCAGTGGCTTCATCTTCCCTGCACGTGACACTATTCTATATGAAAGGTGCTAGAGAATTGCAAGTTGTTTAGTGATTTAATTCAGTTACAGATATCAAAAGTTTTGAATGGTTTTGTTAGAAATTCAAACCAAAGCCAGTCTGCTTATCTGAGTTGTTCAAGCTGTGGAAAAGGAATATAAGCTGGAAATAAAAATCATTACAGTCAAGACTGATGTTCTGCTTTTTATTACTGACATGTTTATTCATCCAACCACAGACCAACGTCTGAGAGAATCCACTACAATTAAATATTTCTGTTCTGAATAAAATTCGAGCAGTTTTAATATCTCTGTAACACAGCTGTTTATTTTTTTCCCCCCCAGAGAGGCCCCGCATTACTTCAGAGCCCCGGGATGTGGATGTGACCTTAGGAAACACAGTCTACTTTACCTGCAGAGCTGAGGGTAATCCTAAGCCGAAAATTGTATGGCTGCACAACAAGTGAGTGCTCAGTAACTAATGCTGGAGACCCCAATGATAAACCTGTTCATTTAGCATGTGCTCAGCTTTTCTAACAAGTTTGAATTTTAAAACTTACAAAGTTGGAGTTATGGGATTGAAAATTGTGATTTGTTTGTTATTGCGGGTGAAAATTATTACAAATGTGACCTAGCTGTTCAATAGCAAGACTGTTGACTCTTCCCTCACTCTGTCGCCCGGAGTCAATCAGAGATACCCATTGCCGGATTCTCCCATAAGACAACAATTTGCGGTCAGGAATCACTGAAGCTCACCTGATTCTTGCCTCGGTGTCTGGTGTAAGTCTCTGTTTATCAGAGGGAAATCACTCTGCTTCTGTGGCATCATCGCACCACTTCCAGATCAACGAATGAGACAGGACACCGCAGTAAAATAAAATCTCTCATAACCGATTCACAGGTAGATTTCATAATAACACATTAACAGAAACTTGCATTGACATAGCGCCTTTCATGCAACATGATGTCTCGGTGCGCTTCACAGTGGCAGGGTTTGATGCTGTGCTAGAGGGAAGGGGAGAGGGCAGGTTGCCATAGGCGTGGTTAAAGACGTAAGTTCTAAGGTGAGATTTAAAGATAGAAAGAGAGGCGGCAAAGTGAAGGTATAGAGGCAGGGAGTTCCGGAGGTTGGGGGCATGATGGCTGAAGGCTTGGCTACTGATGGTGGCTCGGGGAGAGAGGGGGGTTTCAAGCCTGTGTTAGCTGACAACAAGCATAAGTGCCACAACAAAAAGTAGATGTTGTAAAAATCATTTAAACTGTCCTGACTTTTTTATTTTTGCAACATTATTTGGTAAACCTAAGTAGGAAGAATCAGTACAAATTGCTACATAGACTTTTGCCAATTAAAGCAACAAAATGACTTAAAAAACTAAACCCTGAAGCCGTCAACGTGATCACATATGTAGTTATTATTCCGGAAGCACTGCATTGCTATTCGACAATTACCGCTTAATCCGGTAAATCATTTTCTTTCAAAATGAGAAGCTCCCTGCAACCAGAATAAAATTTACAAGATTTTGTTATTTTGTGCTCCGTTTCCCATTTCAATGAGATTTCTGAATTCTCTCAATACATTAGTCAAAAATAAATTGTGCTATTTCTGTGAGCAAATATAACAAATGAACATATTTTGCTAAATATGTTATGAAGCTGAACCAAAGATGTGTACCAAAAAAGTACTAATTTGTGATTATGTGATTAAATGTGAAAGTTCAAATAGCATTTTATGCACTAAAATAGACCACTCAAACAGGCATTTATACTCCACATAAGTCACCACTCACTCCTTACTCCCTCCCATACCCTTTATTCAGTTCTCATTCATGTGATATCTAGCTTCCTCTTAAATGCATCTAATATTATCTGTTTCAACCACCGCTTCAGGCAATGAGTTTCACATTCTTTCCACTCTCTGCGTGAAGCAGTTCCTCCTAAATTATTTTTTTAGATTTCAATATTGCTACCTTACATTTGTATCCCTTGGTTACTGACTCTCTAACAAGTGGGAACAGCCTATTTACGCTAACCCTATTGAACCCTTTTATAATATTGAACCCTCTATCACCTCTATTCTCACCTGCATTGTTGGAGGTGTCAAACTTCCGAAGAAACATTAAACCGAGGTTCTATCTGCCTGTTCAGGTGGACATCAAAGTTCACACGGCATTACTTGAAAAGAGAAGAAAGTTTCTCATGGTGTCATGGCAAACAATTCCTCCAAATAACATTTGTCATTCAGTTCATTACTACTGTGTGCAAAGTGGCTACTTATTTGTTTACAAAATCACAGTCACTACACTTTACAGTAAAATTCTGTGAAGCACTTTGAGAAGTCCTCCTGTCTTCAAAGGAACTATATCAAAAGTAAGGATTATTATTATTTTATTATTTTTATTATTTCATTTTGTCCTGCCTCTAGCTTGATGCTAATCCAAAATAATGACTGAACAATTTCTAAAAGCTGTGGAGTAAGCCATTGTGTTGATGTTTTTTGGTGGGAGGGGGGGGGTGCATTCCTGAAACCCCTCTATAATAATCCACTGAAATTTCTCAGTTTCTTAGTTATCATGATGAATCTGTTCGGAAATTTATGCTAATAAATAATAGATAATAGAAATTTATCTGTTCACACCAAGCCTAACATGGCTGCATCTGAAATGGCCAAGGCGATGTAGGAAGGTTGTAACATAATGTGCAAAGTGTAAGGATTATTAATGCATTAAGGAGTCTGGGGAATTGTTTAGTTTATGAGTGTTTTGGCCCGTTTTTATAAAAGAGTGGAGTTTAAACTCCTTGATGGTAGGTGCAAAAAAAATACAAAATATATTTAAAAAATCAGCGATTTGGGATATCTTCCTATCAAGAAAGGCGTGATATAAATGCAATCTGTTGGTGATATTGCTTTGCATTTCCAGCACTTTCTGCTTTTAGTTTAGCACAGGAAGCAACGTTGCAGCTATTTCCCACAATTAATCTGAGCCCAGTTAATGTTTATACATCTCTTTGTTATGTTCCAGCAATGAATTACACATGAAGAATGACATCCGTCTTAATTTACTGGATGACGGTACATTGATGATCCAGAATACACAGGAATCTGACCAGGGGACCTACCAATGTATGGCCAAAAACGTGGCTGGGGAGGCCAAAACCCAGGGTGTTTTACTTCGATATTTTGGCAGCCCAAGTAAGAAATCATTTTCGCTGGGGTTTTCTACATTTTCTTCATTTAAATTCACTTCTCACAGCAGCTGTGAAGTAAACCATGAAAAGTTGGAAATTGTGGAGGAGCTAGCTGGTACTAACATAGCCTCGATATCCAAATGGCCTCTTTCTATGCTATAATTTAAGAACAAGATTTCACAAAAGTCTCATTGTCAGCTTACACCAGAACTACTTTTAAAAGTCACTGATTGATTTGCAACACAAAAGTGCAGTAATGTTGTATGAGTTTGTCTATAGAAGAACAAAAAAATGACTGTGGGGACTTCTAAAAGAACATCTTTATCAAACCAGAATGAATATTAAGAACAACAAGAATCCAGTGATTGTAAGGATTCTCGGTCTCTTTATACCCATCTAGATATGCCTTGACAACATGATTTACAACAGTTTTTTTCATATACCTATGTTTTAGTATTGCTCCAATTGAACTGTTTCTACAGCCTTCATCACGCAGATCTCACAAAAAGATAGTTATTCTGTGAAAACGTTCATGTTTTGTATCTAAGAACTTTGTCATTTAGCTTGTTATTCTTTTTATTTTACTACTTCACATTTGCAACATTCAACTACAATTGCTGCCTATCTGCCCAGTCTGCCGAGTGGTCTGTATTCTTCTGTATTTTCCTGCATTACCTGAAACTCTGGAACACTTTCCCTCTATCCCTCCTTCCCCATTTTCATGACGCACCTGAAGACCTTCCTTTTCGACTGTGTTAACGGTCACCTTCCTGCTCCCTACTGCTCAGCACCGTGCTCCACCACAGTCGAGCGCTCAGGGACGCTTCTCTGTCTGAAGGGCGCTATATAAATAAATAAAGTCTTTGTTATTCCTCAGACCAATCTAGTATCATCAGCAAACTTAGAGATATACCTCAATCTCTTTCTTTAGCTAAGCCCAGCTTTGTGATTCAACCGCAAAACACTGAGGTTCTTATCGGGGCAAGTATCACCCTGGAGTGCAGTGCCACTGGACATCCCCAGCCGCGAATTACCTGGACTAAAGGGAATGGAGAATCACTCTCACCCCACTCCAGATATACCACAACGTCTTCAGGCGGGCTTTTTATTCAGAACGTTACTCTGCAGGAACACGGTCAGTTCATCTGCCATGCTAACAACAATCAAGATTCCATCCAAGCATCAGCTCACATCATTGTACAGGGTAAGTACCACCTCATCGGAGCTAAAGGTAGTCTTGAGTTTGAAGGGCTATTGTTGTTATGTTGGAGATATCTTCTGGGCGGTCTCATGCCTTAGAACAAATGGAGTGACAACTCAGTGACAAAGCCATCATGTAGGCAAATAAACATGAAAACGACTGCAGGTGAAATCTTCACAGTCTATATCCTGTTTTTAGTTTTGCTGTGATTGAAATTAGCAGATGAAAATATGAGATGTTCAAGATGCTACCCCATGTGAAGGGCACGATATAAATGCAAGTTGTTGTTGATAATTATCACTGGTGATAATTTTGTTTCCATTAATCTCAGTCATTGAAGATATTCTGCTAAAACCTTTCTTAATTATTCATGAGTCAAAATCTACCAATTCTTTCTTTCAAGATGACATTATTTTGAACACTACAATGCAAGAAATGTAATGGTCATGCAGAGCTGTGTGAAGTCAGATCTTTGGTGACATTTTTTGATCCCGGATTTGTGTTCAATTTGTTCAAAATCCAAGACCTGATGGGTATACATTTAACTGGTGATAGCTGAATTGAATGTATTTAGGAAAACCTAAGTTTTGACCCCTTTATGACAGAGATGCTTCAGTGAGAAGTGGGTGTGTAATGGGTCAGGTGCTGTCTAATTTGCTCAGTTTACATTTCGTGGCAGATACCAGTAACAATTGGCATGAGTTAGTTATTGCTCGTGCAGTTAGTTGTAATACGAGAGTTTTGTTTACTGGTTGGAAGTCTTATCTTATCTCATACCTATGGCATAGGTTTGGTAAGGTCAACAGTTCAAGAAATGTTTTGCTGGTCTGTAAAGGTGGGCTGAGAACTTTGCCCGGTCAGCATTTACTAGGGCAGCATTTTAGCATTACTGCTGTTTCAGTACTCAGTACTCAGCACTGGGAACCATTTCTATAGATGAGTTTCAGCTCCACCTCAAGAAGCTTCACTGCACTGTTCTATATTACAATCCTTCATTGTGTGCATAAAAAATAGTGTTGGCTTGGAGCAACTGGAACTAGATACTCACATGGCACTTTATGGTTATCACAGAACTGCTAGCAATCCTCTCATGAACTTCTTTGCACATCCCTGCAGCATCAGTGACCAGCCTTCAGTCACTGTGCCCTTAGCTGTGGAACTCCCTTCACTTGTTCCTTCATCACATGCCTCTCTATGTATCCTAAATCCCACTTTGAAACCTACCTCTTTGACCACAATATTGTTACTTCCCTCTCCCCATTCTCCCTTGCTAAGCTTCCTACCCCATTAACCCCATAACACTTCTTGTACTATTGGTCTTACCAAACCTGGATTGAAGCATTCTGAGATGTTATCCTACATGAAGAGCATTATATAAATGCAAGTTTTGTTGTTGATTTTATCTTGCTCAAGTGAATTAGTGTGCCCAGGGCTGACCTCAACACTTAATGGAATTGAAGCAGAAGAAGGCTGTTTTGGTACTCCAGCAGCAGAAATAGCAGGTGGCTGTGATTTGTGTTTTACAGTGTGGAGGCTGTTTGACAGCTTGGATCCCTCCTTCATACACCGCTAATTGCAAAGTTGTGTGTTTCATGGCGATATATACTAAGCAATAAAGTAATAAAATGGATTGTGTACCGAATGGAGATCAAAGCTTTTTCCATAATAGAACACATTTATATTCTGACAAGATAAGAAAACTATCGCTTAATCCTGCTCAATTTGTAAAATCTGGATTAATTGTCTCAGTTTCTCTATCAATGGATTGTAACACCTAGAAAAGCCTTCTTCACATTCTGTAAAAACAGATGTATTAATAATAATAATACTAATTCTTGCATTTTATATAGTGCCTGATCATGTCATCAAAAAATGTCAAAGTGCTTCACAGGAAATATTTAAAGTGAATTGACTGCATATTTTGTGGGCGAACCACTGCAGACAATTGCGCACAGCACACTTGTTGTCATCATATTATACCTCTATCTGAATCACATCCTGCTGTTCTGTTCACTTGGCATCATAATTCGCTGTTTTGTTTATGTACTAGGAGTGAACCTCATATCGCAGCACACTCTGCTATGGATATATTACAGTGCCACGCTCACTGATTCCATTTTCATCTTCCAATTCATATTTCATACAATATATTCACCCATAAGTCACTCCACTATACAGTACATCTGTGAAGCACTTTGAGACGTCCTCCCAACAGGAATGGTGCTATACCAAATGTAAGGATTGTTATTATTATATTACAGTATAAGTATCAGCCTGGCTCACATTCTCACCGCACAGTCACAGCTCAAAGACTCAGCTGACACCCCTGTGCAGTGCTGAGGGAGTTAGAAGTGTCATCCTTTGAATTAATCATTAAACCATTTCATGTTTACCTGTTCAGGGGGATGTTAAATATCTTACGGCACTGTTCAAAAAGTGAAGGGAGTTTCCACTGGTGTTTTGACCAACAATCTTTCAGAAGAAATTGATAATTGGCTTCATGGCGCTTTGTGGGACATTCCTGTGTGTAAAATAGGCTGCTATGTTCGCCTACAGAATACAGTGACCACATTGTGAAGCATTTTGACAACATGATAAGGTATGATAATACCTAACAATGCAAGGATTATTACTATTATGTACATCTTGGATAATAGTTGCAGGACACTAATCTAATTATTCTAATTATGTGATAAACAATAAAGTATGAAATTCAAGTGGTTTATGAAGGACAATAGATACCGATATTAGTTAAGAACAAATGGACTTCTCATTTAGTTAGAACAATTCTGAAGATATAAATGTTAACATTAGACATAAGTGATCATGTTGTTCTATGGGACATAATAGTTCCTGTGCTTCTGGATGAGTCATCCCATCTGTGGAATATCATTAGTCAGAATTGAATAATGTAGTTTGCAAGGTTGCATTAATACCTTGGTATTTCGCTTGAGTACCTTTAACAATTGCGCAGGAGTCTCACTAAGCTTTATCTTCTTAGAGATTTTACCTCTGGTTGCTTTGCTTCCCTCAATAATTGAGTGGGCTGGTTGGAGTCCAGGAATGGAAATATTGCACATAGTCTTTAGGGAAGCAAGCTTAATGAGCCAAGTGACCTTTTCACATTCAATAGATTTATGTGTTCTTGTACTCTAACAAAAAAAATGCTGGACAAATTGATGATTGGAGAAACAATGTACACACTCCAATGATAATTCATGGGTCATTATGTTTCTAATTCAGTCCTTTAATTGTGTGTGCGGCAATTTCAACCAAGTTAGAAAACTATTGTCTGGACTTTTAACTGTAGAATGCTAAAATACTGTAGAAGGGCTCAATCAGACAGTAGCAATGGTCAGGAAGTTGCTGTTAGAGGCTGCATATTCATTAGTCAATCAATATACATATACGTAGATTTCAGACTCAGTGTATTAGTGAGTTATCCATCTATTACCTATGGTTTTGTGCTACTCACAAATCTTTATATAAGCAGAGAGTAATTAACATTAACATCTAATGCCAAGTGCGAAGAGGTCTTGGATTTCTTTATCTCCAAGATAGATAACATCTGCCTGGCAGCCTCCTCCTCCTCTTACCCCATGTAAAAGTAACAAATTACATCCTCTCTCTCTGTGACCAGAGCTTCCTTTGCCTCCTTGTCTTCCTGGACCTCTCCACTGCGTTCGACACAGTCGATCACACCATCCTCCTTCCCCGCATATCCTCTTTCATCCATCTTAGTGGGACCGCACTCGTACGGTTCGAGTCCCACTTAACCAACCACCAGCACTCATCTCAGCCAATGTTTCTTCCTCTTGCCCCTGCCTAGTCACCTGCAGGGTACCCCAAGACTCCATCCTTGGCTCCCTTCTTTTCCTCATCTACATGCTCCCTCTCAGCAATGTCATCTGCAGACAACCTCTCCGTGCTCTCCCTCAGACTCTCTGAACCTGTGTACAACTTAGGCATCAGCTTTGAACTCCAGCTTTCCTTTCTACCACACATGCGCTCCCTGACCAGGACCACTTTTTACCACCTCCACCACATTGCTCGCCTCTGTCCGAATCTCACAACCGATGAAGCTGAAACCCTCATCCAAGTCTTCTCACTTCCTAGCTGGACTATTCCAATGCCCTCCTCGTTGGTCTCCCCAGTTCCACCATACACAAAATCCATTCAAAACTCTCCGCCCGGATACTCATGCGCACAAAACTCTGTATCACTTCATGCCCTCGCACCTCCCTACCTATCTGACCTTCTTCCCTCCCACTCCACCACCCGCTACTTCCCCTCAGCTGGCTCTGGCTTGCTGTTTGTCCATCGTACCCTCCGTGCCTGCAGCCACGTCACCCGAAACTCTGGAACGCTTTCCCTCAATCCCTCCGCCTTGCACACTTCCTCCCTCCCCACCTTGAAATCCCGCCCAAAGACCTTTCTTTTTGATCGTGCTTATAGTCACCTTACGCCTCTGTCTTCCCTTGACTGGGGGTCAGACTCCGCCACTGTGAAGCGCTCTAGGACGCTACCCCACTTGAAGGGCACTATATAAATGCAAGTTGTTTTATTGTTGTTGTATTAGAATCATAGAGGGTTTCCATCATAGAAAATCATTTGAACCATCATGTCTGTGCTGGTCCTAGTTCCCCTTCAAGACCTACATGCTTTAATCCTATTCCATTCCACTTACTCTGAATCTTTACCCATTGATTCCTATGGATTTTTTTTAGATTGTTCTTTGATTATTAGTTCAATGTTTCTTTTAAGTGTTGTTATACCTCAGCTTTAAAGACATTTGTTAGTACAGCATTCCATCCGCTAACAACATTCTGTCTGAAAAATGTCTTCTAACCTCCCCTTTTTTTCTGCCAAAATAGTGATTCAACTTCTGTCCTTCAAGCCCAGTTTTATGTTTTCTACAGACAGGATGTTCATCATCCCAGTCAAACAGAAACCACTGTGCTTCAAGGAGTGTTTGATGATCTCTGTCTAATAAGTGTAATAAT